AAAAGGTGTGTGTTGCGAAAATATGAAAATGATCCACATTCCGTGGTGCCTAAAATACGTGTGTTTTAAATGACGTGTGTCGTATAGCGTGAAAATGGCTCCCAGACCGAAGTACGAGGATCTAAGCAGATCCCTCAAGCATCGTGAGAAAAAAAAAAGACATCAAAGTTTGACTCGAAGATAGCAAAGCGGAGATACAGACGAAGCGGGAACGAGAAATCAAAGAGACGATTGGAGAACGAGATCTGCAGGGAGCATGCATTGGTTACTGTGCCATCAAGAAGGAAGGACAGAGAGAGATCGAAAGGACGGGAGGAATCACCCCTTGCGACTCCAAAGTCAAAAAAGGGTCATGCAAGGCGTGAGAGTCAGCCACCAAAAGCGCCAAAGAAAAAGGTTTCCACAAATCAAGGACTTGCAAGTGTTGACAATGAATGAAAACAACAAAAGAAGAAGAGAAGCATATATTTAAAGTTCACAAAAACATCGAAGCAACTGATTTGAGGGGGTCGGATGTTGTTGAAAGTAGCACACGAGCGGAAGCGAACTTGTCGCAGCGCTCCATGGAGGACGCATCTCATTCTGAAAGCGAGAAAAATGCGAGAACAGACGACGAGGGCGGTGATAGTGAATCAGAGACAATAGTAGATTCAAAAGAAGAAGACGAGAGTGGCGCACAACAGGAAAGCGACAGTGTAACTAGTGAGTGAACGATGATGAAGAAGAAGAAACTTCACACTATAGCAATGACTATGACAGCCAGAAGTCATGGAGTAACCTGAAGAGAAAACGTGAAAGTGAAGGAACACATGGACGAGGGGTGGGAGAAAAAGTTGAGACGAACAAGCAGTTGGTGCGCAAGGAGTCGTCGTCGCAACAACGTAAGTGCATTATTAAAAGTAGTCGTTTACAACCTCAGACCTCGTATATGTCCTCCTTATAATGATGCACAAAGATAAGTTAAGAAATATTACAAAACTATTAATAAAATCGTGTGTTGTTGTGGAATGTACGTTGTTTGATGTCTTTTTATGTCTTTCCGTTGTTTTATACCAGGGGGCAACATTGTCGAGGAAGCGTCAAACATACAGAGAAAGAGAGAATACCACGAGCAGACTGACGACATAGGCAATATACATTTTCCTAAGAAAGCAAAGGATATATTATTTCGTTCAATCGCAAAGGCGTATGCATTCATTGCGGCGAAGGACGCAACAATGTAACCCTCGGAGGACGACTTATTTGCATCTCTGCAATCAACAACAAACATGTTAGGGAAAAATGTGAAGGAGGGACTCAGTATGTATATGGATAA